CTTTTCAGCCAATATGACCTCGTCCCAGTAGAGCGACAAACGACAAACGCCGCTTGTAGACTCGTCAGATATATCATGTTGCCGACTCTTTGCGGCTGACGGTTATCTGGCCATAAAGCGAACGCGTTTGTGAACAAGATCTACAGAGTAAAATTGTTCGGATATTTAAATGCTGCTTTCGTTATGTTGGTAGACGAATGTTGGGTGTTTGTGGCGCCCATGGGGCTAGACAACATAAACGCGACACTCTCTGACTCATAACGCGGCCGTCTAAATTAATCGTTGTCAAGTTCGCTATCTCGCGGGCCTTGAGGCAATTGGCACAGAGTGCCAGGAAGGCTCTTGAGAGGCCAGAGAGACGGAAGGCTGCCAGGCATGAGTGTATACAAATAGAATGCTCCGACTTGACGGACTGACTTCAGCACGGCGCCGACGTTTCCGCTGGAGGGTCGAGTGGTCTCTGCCAAGCAGCCATATGAAGCGTGCGATCCGCCCTCCCGGAAGCTACAGGTTGAAGGCCTGTTGCGGAAGCACAGGGTTCCTGAGCTTCCTTTCCCTCCCCCAATAATTCCTAAAAGGCGTTGCGAGTTTTTCTTGAATATAAAAAAAGAAAAGAAGGAAGGTGAAATAAAAGGTTTTTGACATCCCTGCCGTGTTCTCGAAAAAAAAAAAGTAATTTCGTTTTAGGAGAAGCGCTGGAATATGATGCCAAGACACCGCCCAATGAAGTTTTTGCTGTAGACTCACGCATTTCATAAGAAAAATATGATATCACCGAAATAAATACGCCCAGCGCGGTGGAGTCACTAAATAACGACGCTTCTGATTAAGGTCTTAGTAAAACATAACATTGCGCAACAGAAAGACAAGGACAAGTATACAGGACAGGCGCTAAAGAGATTAAGGTCTCTTTAGCCGGAATGTTGCGCAGTATTATTTCTGTCTGCTTTAGCTATCCTCTGCGTTCCTGGTGGAAAACGTGGGGCGCTTTCCGTCCTCCTGCTTGCTAAAAGAAAGTTGAAAAAAAAAAAAGCGAAAGAAAACGGACATCGCAAGAGGTTTTAAAGCTTGATTTACACGGTGCGATTTTGCTTGCGATTTCTCAGTTGCGAAGTCATGCACCGCAGCATCCAGCCCGCTATGTTTGCCACAAGAGCAACGTTGAAAATGCGAAAGGGCAAGTAACATCGCGTCAAGTGAACACTCGTCAAGCGACGTAACAGTCGCCGTTGGCTCCCATGAGGCTGCAGCAAGAAAATGGCAGCACCTTCCAGCCGCTGGAGCGTAAACAGGCGTCACGGGAGGAGAATGGGCACTATACCGTTACCGAAGAAAAGTAACGAAATACATAACTAGTTACTTGCAAATAAAAGGAACGCGTTACCGACCTACGTTATCTAAAAAAAACAAAAAAAAAAAAACAGAACGCGTTACTGTTATACTGATAAAATGTTTTCTTTCGCGTTCCTTTCTATTTATGAATTAAAGTGTCCTACTGTTTCACGTCACATGTATGCTTTCGCCGCCATAATTCAAGAAACAATATCTTCATGCAGAATTACCTTATCCTTTCAAGGTTGCACCCGAATATTCACAAAACAAAAACGCGAAAGTATTTTTGAAAAATTTGGGGGCATGTTGGATAAGTGCAGAAATTCATAAAAATTGGCGCGTAAAAACAATTTTGAGCGTAATTTTTTTGGTGTGTTTTGCGAAGAAATGGTAACGGCATCCGTTGGGCGTGCTTCAGACAAATCACATTTTTCATTAATTGCTCAGATGTAGTTCAGCTCGAAACGCACGAGCAACTTGGACAACTCGGAGACGTTTGAAGCGGCAGCAGTCAATCAGGGACGCTACATTTTAACGTGACACCCCTGTGTCGGTGATGATGACAACTGAAGACTTGGTTCTGGTTTGAAATGGATCGTTCTTGGAAATAAACCGTTTCAAAAAGATGAGTTAGTATTCTCAACGCCACTTAATGATATAAAAAACACGTTTATAGCACGTAATTGCGCGTCTAAATATTCTGCGAGATTGTAGCAATCCTGTTGCTGCGTGTGAACGCGAGCGGGCGGCCCGTGTTGCTGGTGTGGAGACGTCAGCTGGGAGAAATTAAGTATTAAATTAAGTACTTTAAAGAAATTTAATCAGATTTAGCATCAATCTGTCCCTTGATTTTAGCCATCATTTCTCTAATAATCTTTTACTGAGCTGAGTATGGGGCCCAGTATTGGCCACGAGATGTTTTAGTGGTTCCGTCTTATGGTTCCTATCTGTGACGTCACGACCAGGATTGTCGATTGCCAGAAACCATTTCGATAGTTTCTCTAAAAAACAGGACGGAAGCTTGTAGTCATAACGTCCATCAAAATTAACCAGCCTGACATTCCTCTTTTCTTCATTAATAAACGTAGAATTCATCTGACTCAAGACGTCAAAGTGAGCGATGGCCAACCGTTGAAGGTCTACCAGAGCGATGCTTCTGGTCGATTTTCTCGCAGTGCACATCCGCGGCACGGTTCCCGACGTGTGTGGTAACGGTATTACGCTGACGGTACGCTACACATCTTTATTATTCGAACAGAAAGGTTCGCGTAACTGCAAAATGTAAAAAAAAAAAAAAAGTTTTTTTTTTTTTTTTTGATTAAATTGGGCAAATTCTGCGAGAATGATATCGCTGTAAACGGGAGTGTCTCTCTTTTTATAACTTCTCGTTACAAGTGAATCGTTGTATTTCTATTAATAAACACATTCTCTCTCTCTTTGTTATTGAAGGGCTTGCCAATAAACGTTCAGGACGACCGCTCGGGTCCAAACGCGCGGTGTCATCGAAACGTGCACCGAGACGGAACGCCACGAGGTGACCTGTCAAAATAAGTGCGGCGGACGTTGCGAGAGGTTTTCCGCGCGGATATATGACGTACGGTACTTCGATTACCGGAACCCTTGGCGCGTGGAACATTGCGGTGACTCAGACTAAGCATCGGGCAGCACAAGGTGTTATACCGGAATCCCGGAGGACTCGCGAACATTTGCTAACACAGTCACTGGTACTTTATTGTTGTCAAGCTGGCAACGCGAATCCAGTCTAAAGGCTCTGTGGAGCGAACATTTGCGGCGAGCAACAGACGAACCTCGCCTGGCGCCACGTTTGCTTTGGAACACCGCGTTTTGGCAGTCATTGTTCTGACACCTCGCGCAGCTCGAACTCCAGCTGGCAAATTTCGTTGGTTATTCGCGGAGTAGTTGCTCCATGCAGTCCGGCCTTAGATGCGCAATATCCTCGGACTTCACTGTAGGCGTTCGGAGTTCATAGAGTAAACACAGCCCTCCTTCAGGACGCTCGTCATTGAGGAGAAGACGAACTCAAAGACGCATAAATCTTGAGCCATGTCACCCTCCCCTCTCCTCTCGGTTAGTTTGCCTTCAAGAATGCGATTCCTTCCGGGACGAGCGCGTTGCGTTGCGCATTGCTTTTAAAGCGGTATTTAAGCGGTAGATTTTTAGGGCCGACCAACCCCGGGAGCCGCGTAATCACAAGATGTGTAGTTCAGTCAGTCCGTAACCGTTAAACGATCTTGAAAAGAACGGCAACTTGTGCTGGGAAATGGGAATCGAATCCAGGTCACCTATGTGAAAGCTTAGTGCACTGCTGACTGAGCCATGGACCCAGCACGTAGAAATGAGAGGAGCAGGAGCAGGTGGTGTGAGAAAGCGCGCGGAGCGGAGAGGGGTGGGAAGGACAGGAAACGGAGGAGCAGAAACAGGTGGTGTAAAAAAAGGGCGCGGATTGAAGGGGGAGTGAAAATGGTGGAAAAACGCGGGTATCCCCTCCTTGATGGCCCAGAAAATTAATTGCAAAGGCTTTGTATCCGGGTGGTGCTCAAGGGAAGCGCGTGCAACGTCACAAAGAGACGCTGGTGTGACGTATTCTGTTTCCATACAAAACCTTGTCCTGGGCACCACCTGGACTAAGAGCACCATCAACCCCAGGCACTGAAAGACTAAGGGTCATCCCGCCCTAGGCACAACCAGAACTAGGAGCTCCACCCACCCTATAAAGCTACCACATTTAAGCGCGTTTGACAAAATGACCAAACATGCAGCCAAATTTTCACTTCCAGAATTAACTCCAAGCGTGGCAGCAATTCCTCGCACAGGGAGGGTGCTGAGGCGTCATTTCAAGCACCGCACGGTTAAACTGTATCGGCTAAAATAGTAAGAGCGTTACGAAAATCTCCAGTTCGTCGAGGCCCTTGGCGTGGACCGGTTACATATAAAACGACAGTGCCTCCATCTTTAGCGTCTATTCGCGAACAGGCGTTCGCTCGATGATATCCAAGAAACGAGGGCACAGCCGCGCTCAAGGGGACTTTTACTGATGTTAATTCAGCGTCTTCTCCCTCACCGAGGACGCTCCGGATAATCAACGCGCCTAACCGCGTTCTATTATCCTTATATCGCTGGACGCTCAAAGTATGCGGTCGGAATTAAATAACGGAGCGGGATTAAAATACAAAAGTGACAACTATGTCATGTTTTCCACACGCGCGGAGGGATCGGTGGCTGAGTGTTAGCTCACCGCAGCTCGCTCGGAGCACTTGGAGGGAAAGCTCGTGGGTTCAATTTCCGCCCCCGCCCATTTCGGTCTGGATGAGCATCGTACCGACGTGCGGTCGTGTATCGCTACTGCGCGATGCACGTTAAAGACCCATGGCTAGCAATAGTACTGCTCTGGCTAAATTTCTCATATACAACGTAAACCAGTGTTGGAGCACCTCAAAAGCAGACCGAACTTAAGCTGCATAAACACGAACGTAAAATTTGGTTTCGGTCCACACACGCAGCGTCTGAAACTTTGACTCAGTTGTTGCACGATAGAGTTTTATGCGGCGGTGATGTATACCGTCAGGCCATCCATCCACTCTGCAGACACGCAGGACACCTCGATCCACGTCCGGGGAAGGGAGGGACAAAGCCAAGCGCGCACTGACCTTGCTGGCGATCTGGGCGCTGAGTCCGTAAGCGGGTCCGCGGTAGGCCATCTTGGACGGTGTCGACGACGACGGCTTCCTGGGCAGCTCCTGGGCCGAAGAACACTGCCGCCTCGTCCCGGAGTCGGTGGAACAGCGCGGGGCGAATGCGTCGGGCACGCGTTCGCGCCGAGCCCGCGGGGCCCGGGCTAAAGATAGCCGCGGTCCGGAGGGGAGCAGGGCCCGCCCCGGCCCGTCCGGAGTCCGTCTCGGGTTTCCGTCGGGGGCCCACGTGGGCATCTGTCCGCAGGAAGTTGGCCGCGGTTCGGACTCGCGAGCGAACGGTTCCGACAATAGGGGCTTTCAGTAGATCGGTCCGATGACCCCCAATATTCATATCCGATACTGCACTGATGCCGTTGCACGTGCACCGTATCGTTCCCGGGTATCGTTACCTGAGGTATCGGAGCGACCTGCTAAGATCCCCTAATATGATTGGATTGTAGGGCGGGAAAAACGGATGGCGGCGGAACCACGACGTGCCGGATCATTTTTGTTGCGTCTCGGACGAGCCTCGGGAACGACCACGGGAAACGACCAAGAACGCGATATGTCGCTGTGGTCTTAAAACGTGTTCCTAACGTCCGAGTCTCACTAGAGCGACATACAGAAACATTCGGCACCGACAAGCCCCAATCTCGTGCAGTGTGCATGCGGAGGCTTTGGCGGACTTGCAGTGTACTGGTGTTCGTAGTGCCAGCACGAGTGATTGCAAAGCCTGTCAAAGATGCCTTCGCGGCACGTGCGGCACGTGCTTGAGGCTTGTCGGTGTCGGTTGTTTCTAGTGGCCTAGGGTACCATGCTCTATTTCCTACTTAATGTGCAACACTGTCAAAGCTACTGGCTCGAGTCCGTGGCTTCATCTATGGTTTTGTTAGCTCGAGAACGCGTGTAAATGATCAACGAGATCAAGCCCCCTGCTTGCGCCAACAACTTTGACAGCGTTGCATTACAGTCTATTCTAGTACACTGTAGTTGTATAGGGGGTATTCACTGGACGCCATATTTGAGAGCTATGTTTAGAGCACATGATTGATTGATTGAAACGTTTATTATGTGGATCATATCCTGGCCTATTAGCGGCGAGATGTTTTGACAGTGCCCTCCTATGGTTTCCTCTCGTGACGTCATTACCTTGGGAACAAGAAGTTCGATGGTGTTTGTAATTAGCATGATGAAAGCTTCAAATCATTGCGCTCTCAACGCAACACTGCCAACACCGTCGAAATTCAAGTTCTTGCATTCCTCTTCGATGAGAAATCTTTTCCTGACGTCGTAATCAGCATTCGTCCAATCATGGCAGGCCACGACTGGACGGGAAAATGGCGGCCGACGGAGTTTTCGAATACATGGGGCTCTATGGGCACCAGAAACCGAAAACAGGCAAAAATGGGCTCCATTTTCGCATTGAACTTTTCAGTAAATCACTTATAACTTTTGAATAAGACATCGGATCGGGCTGAAACTTCGGCATCTGGTTGAGACCTCTAGCACTACTTTTGGACTGAGAATGACCGTTCGGCGATGCCTAGTTTTTTTTTGACACCCTGTATATAGTGATTTGATATACATAGGCATTGTATCCGCCCCTCCCCCCCCACCCCCCCTTTTTTTTTGGCAACCACCTCAGTGGCGTTATTTATTGGGTAGAGCCGGCACACTTCCGGACCACGTATATTTTCTAATTGTTTACTCATCATTTTTTTATCATACGAGTGAATTACGTCTGACAGTGGTATAACTAGCTATTTCCAGAAGATAGCGTGTGTATTTGATTCCGCAAATACTGCGAAAACAGCCATCTAGTTCAGAACCGGAAGTGGTTGGGGGCTATTTGCACAGTGGCGCCACCACATTTCAAATCACGCGAGTAAGAGCGAATGAATGCTTTCACACGTGCCAGGTTACAGCCGCCCTCGCTGGCCTTCTCTCGTCTTACCGAGTTGCTAAGCCACTGAAGCGGGCCTTGACGAGCCTCCACCAAGACCAATTCTGGGCAAAAGGACACAGTAGAATCTAAAATGGCAATAACCTGCCCTGCTGCGGTAATAATGAAGTGAAGTAAACGTAATAAGAGGAAACAGAAACCGAAGGTTGGTTATGGCGGCGCCCATGCACAGCTGTTACAAAGCATCTTTCGGTCGTGCCATCACCAATGCGTAATGCGCGTTAAATAGGCATTCCGGCGATTTTTCGAGCTACCACAATTGAATATATTTTCTGGAAATCCCCGGCGTTTAATAGTAATCGTTATTGTGATATCGGCAAATGAAAACGTTGCAAAATCCAGCATTCATATATTTCCGCACTTTTCAGTGCCGTGACGTCAGTGGAAGGCAGGCTTGCCAGTCGAGCAAGCAGTCTAAAAAATAGGCTATGCCGAGCATTTGTTCCGTGCTTGTGCGCGGATTCTGGAGCGAGCTTCCAAAGCATCCATTTGACGCCATGAAACTGCTTGGAATCAGTTGGGAACCAAATCTACAGTCCAAATAAAACAACACGGCGAGGATTAAAATTGTACATTCAATAACTCTGCAAAACACAAATATTTTTGATCTAATATTTGGGATACTATTTCAGCGATGTTCGTTGCTATGTTTAGCGAATTTTCCGGCAAATCGGGGACCATAAAGAAATTGCCGGAGTACCCTCCCCCCAGTCGTACCGTACACTGGCTCACTTGCTTCCCTCCCAAGATCATTCCTACTGCGCTGAGCCTGCATTGCCAAAGTAGAATCGACATGTCTCTGTCTCTACCAAGTCCTGTTTCCGACGTCACCCCAAGGCTGTTATGAAACGTGCTTTTCCGCACGTACAGTACCGCGCTCCTCCTGCCGTCGAGCACGTTTGTTTACAAACAGTCACTCGTGGAACACGATAATTACCCCCCCATGTCCAATTTGCTTTAGTTGTTTGCTTGCTTCTATGTTGGCTCGACCGGTGGGGCATTCGTGCCAGTAACGTGCCAAGCCAAACAGGTTCAACCCTCAAAAATGGCTGCCCAAACGCTTCCGCCTCTTTTCGTTTTGTCACGTGACGTGGACTCCTCCCCCGGTTTGAAGCTGCGTGGGGCTCTGACACTGAGATTCCTCGCTCGTGAGTCATGATCCCGGAGGCGAGAGGCCTTGACGGCGTGGAGGTGTTCCAGGGACCGCGCCGTGGCTGCGAGGGTCACCGCGGAGGGCGATGCAAGGAGCGCGGGCGGCCCTCGCGCGGTCTGCGTCCCACACCTGCAGCAGCCGCTTTTAGCGACGCGATCTGGTTCAGACCCGGCCGAGCCTTGTTTTGCTGTTCCGAGCCTTCACTCAGCGCCTTGCCTTATTCCGGCACTACTAAAAAAGCTCCGTGCTAGTTTATGGCTCAAGTATAGCAGTGACAAAGTGGAGAACAAGTACCACTTGTTTTCCGTTCTGCCACTGCTGCTGGTTTAGTCTGTGGTCTAGACAGCACTTTCGTTTATGGACTATATAATCTAGACACCAGCGGAGTGCCTGCAGCTGAAATCCTTCCCGTGAAAACTTAACACACTCACTGCAATACAAATTCAAACAATTCCGTTAATTTCATATTCGCCACGAGAAGTTTGGGTATCGCCGCCTGGTGGAATTTTTTGACAATTCAGAGTGAGGATACTTCAACTTCCTCTGCAGACGCGACCCTTGCGAGCTACTCGCCACGAATTGTCTAACTATAAGAGGACTGCAAGCATCAGTACAATGAAATCTAACATTGACCTGTCATTCTTAGCATTTCGCCGTAAAACCTCTCGTCCCTACCTCTTTCACAAGTTGTTTCACTACCCCTTCCTGCGCTTCAAACTTACCCCCCCCCCTCAAGTGCGTTTCACCCAATGTTAGACAAAATACTCGAGAAATGTATTTAAGTTAAGTTACTCAGTACCTGCTTCATAAAGTATTTAAAATACTAGTGAAGATACTTTCACTGTAAAGTATCTTGAGTAGAGTAGAAATACTTAGAAATGTAATTCAGTTACTTTTAGAGATACTTCCGCATTGCGTAATTTTTATCGACGTCAGCGACAATGACAATTACGCAGCTGCGCAAATCTTGGTTACCAGAATAGTTTATCAGCGCGCACAACACAAAACGGAAAAAGAAAAACAAAGTACCTTCGGGCTATTTTACGCAGTCAAACGATAAGGAGCAGGATATTGTCACGAATGACAAATGATCAAACAACGAATAACTGAAGAAATTAAAAGTTTAATGAGGCGAACTTGTGCCCAAAACAAAATAGAGAAGAACTATCGTCGCAGGCGTCCATGTCGGCAAAACAGCAGGATCGAGCGCTGGGGCGAGACTGACTCCGGACCGCTACTCGGAGCTCCTTTTGTACCCGCGTGGGTTTCTGGAACATTCGGCGTAGAAAGTTCCGCACGTAGAACATTCGTAACTCGATCAGACGACAAGGTTCTTGAACTTACGAGAATGTCAAGTTGCAAGAATAAATAAAAGAGGAGTCCGCTCCCTGGAATCGAACCCGGAGCCTCAACGCGAGAACCTCCGCGTGACACCCAAGCGTGGTAAGTATTCGGCCACGCGCTAGCTTGGGCAAAACGCGTGGCAATACAGTGAAACCCGTTTAGAACGAACCTACGTACAGCGAATTATTGCTGATATTGAACTCACAGAAAATTTAAATAAAAATGCATGTAAAAAGTAATTTTTATAACGAACAACATATTGGCTATATCGAACTTTTTTCCCCCCCGGGAAGGTTTCCAAAAAAATAGGAAATGAAGGAAATTTCAAAAGCTCAGGTTGCGAACATAACTGAGCGAAGACAAGCGATTCAGAAGGGGAGAAATCTAAAAAAATACACTGCACGCACGCACGAAAAAAATTATTTTCATCTCAAATCGGTTGCCCACGAAGAGAAGCGATTCAGAAGGAGAGATAAGCTAAAAAAATAAATAAAAAACTCCACGCACTAAAAAAAAAATCTTTTTGGCGCTTTGTTACAAGGCGGAAGCGAAGAGATGAGAAAGAGAAGTTCTCGCCTTACAACGAACGCATCGTAGAAGTTCGTTGTAAATGTTTTTTTTTTGCTATAGCTAATTACTAGCTATATCGAACTGATCGTAGTGTTTTCTGCTGTTCATTATAAACGGGTTTGACGTATCACTGATAGACGTTACAAAACATTTCTGGGACAGCAAGAAAGAGGTCGCTTTAGCTATTGGAGAGGAGAT